TCGCTGGGTATCGATTTTTTTTTTTTTTTTTTAAATAAAAAAAAGACAACCGCAAAAGTGAGTATTATCAACCTGATATCTCTGCGAGACATAAGTTCTGAGTATTATGATGTGTAGTTAGTCGACAGAGAGAAGATAAGACTAGCAACTTAGGTTAATCTGGGCCTCGAGGGAGAAGTATGAGGTAATTAATGCCCGGAGTCCTGAGGATGGCCCCCTGTAGTTAGTTGAGTTCGTGGTATGGAGGACGTTCTGGAATGAAGTAAGGCAGGTATTTTTGACAGAGGGTGGCTGGCTGCCTGCTAGGATGTGGTGGGGCCTGTTGAGAGAGGGAAAAAAGGAAAAAGAGAGGAAAAACCGGTACGAAGACAAAATATCATATGTAACCTCAATCGGGGTCTTTGATCTCTCGACATCTCAACGATGGCACAAGCAGGGTATCACACACTACTCCGTATTTCGTTCAGACAGCAGGTGGGAAAAGAGCTATCTGCCCAATATCTAGATAATATTGACTGATCGTCTTTACAGAACGAGCGTGTGACAATTGGCAAGTGAACAGGCGTGCAATCTGAGCCGTGCAGCCCGGCGTAACGGGTTCGTCAACCCCATGTCCTTCTGTCCCGTTCTTTTTTCCCCTTTCTCTTCACATTTTTTTTTTCTTCCCTTTCCTTTTTGCAACTGGCTGGCACTTGACAGAAGTAAGCCCTACTCCGCACAGGTGCGTGCTCATATAAAATAAAGGAAAAGGGAGAAGGATATTGCAGCATAACGGAGGTTCCAGTTTCACTAAAAATATGCAAGATTGGCCATCATGTGCGACGGATTCTGCGAGGTAGTCAAGGGGCAAGCATCTGGAAAGAGATAGTGAATCCGGAGGAAGAAGCCAGGATAAAGGCCAAATTACGAGCTCCGCCGGCCGGCCATCTTCGAGCAATCGTGTCCCATATGGACGCCCTATAATAACTCCGTGGCTCCGCGGTCCTGTTGATTGCTTGTTTGGTGGCTGCTGATGGGCGATCAGGTATACCCCTGGCCATACATCAAACTATAAGGCCAGCAAGGATGTACCTTAAGCCGCCGCGGATAGCGTTGCACACCTACTTTTTTTCCTCCTGTACGCCGTATCGAGTACGGACTCAGTACTTAATTCTGCTGCTGCCTGCTTCTTGTCCGGTCTGCTTCTCTTTTGCCCCCCGCATCATGTTTCCGCGGTGTGAATATGCAAGTATATAGCTCCTGGACCACGCCGCCAACGAACAGTCAGGACAGAAGGGTTGTCATGCCTGGGTTGTGGGGGTTCTCTGGCGGCCAGCAGCAGCAGCAGCAGCTAGTCACCTCGGTCCTCGACGCCGCCTCTAGCGCTGTGATTGGAAGCGGGTTGAACCTGCGCAACAGCATCCTATCCTGAACGCAGCGCTGCATGCAGCACACCATTGACTGTGGGCTTGGTCTGTCAGGGTCCAGCCAATCACCACACCATCCCTCAGGCATCTTCGTCTCATCGTCTCGTCCCGTCCGGCCGCCTTTCGAGCAGTCATATCGCCGTCCTGGCTGCAACGTCTGTCCCTCCCCTTTTTTCTGTGCTGTGTCTGTCTGTCTCGTCGTTGTTTTGTAGTTTAGAGAAAAATAGTCGAAAAAAAAAAATAAATAAAAACAAGAAAAAAAAAAGAAAGTAAACCGCGCTTTTGGCGCTTGTCGCCCGCCCAAGTCACGCCCCCATCCCGAAAGGGTAAGAGAAAAGCCAAAGAGGAAAAAAAAAAAAAAAAAAAAAAAAGAACAACTTCCGACGACGAGCTTTCGACCTCGTCCTTTTTCTCCCTTCTTCTCCTCTCCTCAACGACGCGCAGGACGACGACCGACGGCGAAGAAGAAGAAGAAGAAGAAGCAAAGACGCAGCAGGCGACGATACATACCACCGTTCTCGCGGCGCGCGCACTTCAGCCTCCCCCCCTTGCACGCGGAGCGACCAGCCCGCAAGGCAGCTGCTTCCCCAGACCAGAGCTGCGGCAGCCGACGCAGCACAGCAGAGCACACCGAACCCGCCGTTCCTCCCCCCTCCGCGCCTGGCCTGACACACACACACACACACACATACACTCAAGAGACGGACAGACAGCCTCAAGGAGCAGTAACTCTCTGGGACATAGATCCGAACTGGCGACTTATCCCTGCTCCGTGATTTCTCTAGCTCCTCCAATTACATACGCCGGAAGCTTGTTCTTCGTCGTGCAGCCCATCTGAGGTCGCGCCATCCATCCCCCATCACACTTATCCCCACGGCTCGACACCAACGCCCAAGTCCAAACCCGCAGAGCCCCAGGACGGAAAAAAAAAGAAAAACAAAAAGACCAAGAAGGCGAAGGCAGAAAGATAACTGAGAAAAAAAAAAATTAAAATAAACTAAGAATACAGTGCCAGATCGGGAGAGAGACTGCAAGAAGTGAATCGAAGTCGAAGGAACGGCAGACATTAAGCCCTTCACTCGAGTGACTCTGAACGTGTGCTGGAATCTTTGAGAGTGCAGTGCCTGCCTGTTGGCTGTCCTGTTTCATCGCTGATCCATATTATAAAATATATCCCGTTCTGCAACCTCCAAGTCATGGGTGCGTGTCTCCCGGTCGTTTCTTTTTTATTATCATTACTCTTTCGTCCCTCGATTTCTCGGTTTGATTCTGTCTCCGACATATCTTTTTTTCCCCCAACCCCCTTTCCCCCTTTCTCTCTACCTTTCGGCCTCTCCGTTCCCCTTCCTCTCCGCCTGAAGGCTCGCATATGCCGTAAAAGATTGATACTACTGCTTCGTTTTTCTACCCTACTCGGTGCTTTATTGGAGTTGCTGCCTTTTTTTCCATATTTGTTCTCTCCCCAGTCAGCCAATTTCCGCCTGCTCCCGTGTTCCCTAACCCCCTCCAGAGAAGACCCTCCCATCCCTCTCACTTTGCCCTGCCCTATCACTGCTTACCTGCTCCCACACTCCATTTCCCTGGCCTTGGCTTTCGGCTGCTGCAGTTGAGTCAACTCAGTCCCCGTTCTATGAACTAGGCTTCCACGCTATCCCATTACCCACTCCGCAAAGAAAACGTCACCTCTTCTTTCTCTGTTCACTCCATCCTTCCCCTCCTCCTTTCACTGCCATCTATTTCCCTTTTAAAAGCATATCTTCCTTCATTTTTCGTTCCTTTCATTTTATATTAGCCCTCGTTGCTCTATATCCCTATACCTGCGACTTATTCCTAATTTGATACATGCCTAGGTACAGCTGACGTTTATCGACCTTCTCAAGTAAGTCAAGGATCATCGACCTGCGAGTTTTTCTTCCACCCCTCTCCTCTACTCAGTTGTTGTCTTTGGTTGTTATGGCTGGCAATATTCCCACTGTATATTTGGCCAGACCTTTGAAGGCGCTATAATGCTCAAATTTATGAGTGGGATTAGCCAACCTTCTGGGAGCTGAGTATACGTCATTTTTTTTTATTTCTTATGTGGCTCTATTATCCCAAATCTCCTCGTTCTTCAACGGCCCGGATATCTTATCCCCTTTTTTGCCCCCAACACTTCCTTTCCCCCGGCCTCCCGTTTGTCACAGGTCCTATGGGCCTGTCTCCAGCTGGGCTATTTTTATACATGAAAACCAACTTGTGTGTCCATGCCTTCAGTTACCCTGTTGATTGCAGGCATGGATATTTATTTCTTTCTTTTTCTTTCTTTTCTTTTCCTTCTTCATCTCTGAACGCATTTGCCTTTTATCATTCAAAAATATCCCCCTGGTTTAGGCGGTGATAACAGCAAATGTGACACTGTTTGATCAAAATCGACTAACTAAATATAGCGTGAGCGATCACGCTCTCCACGTCGCCGTTCCCGAAGCCCACGTCGGAATCGGCGATCGTTCTCACCCCGGAGCCGTTCCCGCAGCCGTGAAGATTATCGTCGCAGTGATCGTCGATCGAGATCTCCCATGAGCGGTGTGGCTGCTGCATCTGGAGGTTATTCAGGTTCTGCATACGGCGGCCGTAGTGGTCCTCCACCTGCTCGTTCTCTCGAGGATCGTGCCGTTGCCAAGGAACAAATGATGCAATCAGTCCGCGAATCGTCCCAACAAGACCGCCGAGTCTATGTTGGCAACCTATCGTACGATGTCAAGTGGCATCATTTGAAAGATTTCATGAGACAGGGTGAGCCGGGCCAATGCAAGAAAATTCCTGCAATGAAAGGCAATTGATGGGGGTGGTTTATCTTTTTGCCTGCGAGTGTGTTTTGGAGGAGCTTGGCTGACTATTGACTCCTCCCTTGTTTTCTACTATAGCTGGAGAAGTTCTCTTTGCCGATGTCTTATTACTTCCGAATGGAATGTCGAAGGTGGGCGTCATTGTGTAGTTGCGGCTGGTTTCCTGGTTTTCTTTGGCCATTTTGATGAAATGTTGGGTTGACGGGTTGGGGCTTGGTGATTTGGTTTATGTAGGGCTGCGGGTAAGTTACATCTTTTGACTTTTCTTATGCTGTCCCTCTCGATTATAACATCTTTCATATACTAATTAAATGACAGGATTGTGGAATACGCAACGAGGGAGCAAGCTCAGCAGGCTGTTGCAACGCTCAGTAACCAGAACCTTATGGGCAGACTCGTCTACGTCCGTGAAGTGAGTGAAATCTATTGTGTTCACCATTTATTCTAGTATTAATCTTTCCTAGGACCGAGAGGCAGAACCTCGTTTTACCGGCCCGCCTCAACGCGGCGACTTCGGAGGTGGCCGGGGCGGATTCGGTGGCCCTGGTAGTGGCCCTGGTGGTGGTGGCCGCCAGATCTATGTTGCTAACGTTTGTATACCACTTTATATTCATGCTCCGCATTTCAATCATGCTATACCCCGAATACCATAATTGGTTGAGAAGGTATGGGATTTTTCTTGAGGGAGATATGGCTGATTGGTTTTCTAGCTTCCATACAATGTTGGCTGGCAGGATCTAAAGGATCTTTTCCGCCAAGCTAGTAAGTCATGACGAGTTCCTTAACCACGGCATCTTTGATTGGTATGTATGTGGGCAAGAGTTTGAAGATATTAACCATAGTTACAGCCCAACAAGGTGCCGTTGTCCGTGCAGATGTCCACATGGATGCTTCCGGCCGTCCAAAGGGATCTGGTATTGTTGCCTTTGAAAGTCCCGATGATGCCCGCAATGCCATCCAGCAGTTCAACGGATATGAATGGCAGGGCCGTCCACTCGAAGTCCGTGAAGATCGTTACGCCGGCTCTGCTGGCTTCCCTGGCCGTGGGGGTTTTGGTGGTTTTGGCGGTCGCGGTGGATTCGGTGGTCGAGGCGGCGGCTTTGGGGCCCGTGGGGGTTTCGGAGGCTATGGAGGCGCAGGTGGTAGAGGAGGATTTGGTGGCGCAGGCTTCTCTGGACCTGGAAGTGCACACGATGGTACAGCCGCTGCATCCATTCCTGCTAACCCATTTACCGATTATGCCACCTATGGTGGAGAGAGAGGTGTCTCGATATATGTCCGCAACGTAAGCTGGAACTCCCCCATCCGTATCATATCTCCTTTAATCTAACCTTCAATTTAGCTTCCATGGTCAACCTGTAACGAGGACCTTGTGGAACTATTCTCTACCATCGGAAAAGTCGAGCGCGCCGAAATTCAGTATGAGCCTAACGGCCGCTCCCGTGGTACCGGTGTCGTCCAATTTGACACCGCAGACAATGCTGAAACCGCAATCAGTAAGACTATCTTTTGTGTCGCGGTCTGCATTGCAATATATTAACGCAGTAACTAGGCAAGTTCACCGGTTATCAATACGGCGGTCGTCCTCTTGGCCTGTCCTTCGTCAAGTATGTCAATCCAGGACAGAGCCAGGGCCCGGTCCCAGGTCAAGCAACTACCGACCTCAACGGCTCTGGTGAAGCTGCTCCTATTACCCAGGATCAGATCATGTAACAATATGTGGATGCAGATAATAACGGATCTGAAGCAAGTGAGCTAGTGGTGGGGAAGTTTAGAGAAGGGAACGAAGGTTTCAGTTTACAGCCCTGCTAGTTCTTCAAATTATCCACGCGATTTAACATTACACTGAGAATCTGGCGCTGGTGACGTGGCGGTTGACTTTTCTTTTGGATGATAACAGCTACAACAAAAAGGTCATCTGCATTCTTTTACGTCTTTTGATTCATTCTACCATTATCTCCTTTCTTTCTCTGCCAGATATATGTCTCGAGCTTCCAGACCCTGACCTAGTGATGCGTTTTTCCTTTGAATCTGCCCTCTTTTTTCAGTGTTAACCAACTTGTACTATCCTATTATCCCTACCAAGAAAAAAAAAAAATCAATTTCCTTATTATCCATAAAGTTATCACGATCGGAGTAATTTTGCCTACGTATTAATATTACTGAAACAACCCCCCTCTAGGACAGAGGTGAGAGGATAGAATATTGGGCAGAAATTGAGTTTCCTGAAGGTAAAAATGCAGTTATATAAAGTCAACCATGCTAGTGTTGTACATGCAGTATGTCAAAAGAGAGGAAATGAGACCATTTTTCAGGTTTCGTCCTCTCGACAGCCGGTGGCAGCCTGAGTATATATGTGAGTATATGTAGATGCAAACGAAAGTAGGTATATCGCTGAGCAATGCGATGCAGAACGGCACAAACGGGTCAAAAAATGACAACAGAAACAGAAGTAAGAGCAAGAACAAGAGCAAAAGCAGAAGAGGTATAAATAATTTTAATAGGAAGGCAGGATCAGGATCTTTGAGGGAACTGGCCGGGAACTTTCAGGTCGATGGATGTTCGACTCAAGGGTTGGTCAAGGGGTGAAGTCGGGTAAAGGGATGATCTGTTGTTGGTTACTCCGTCGGTGACGATGGGTTCAATATCCCTTCCGTCACCGTCCAGGTGGGGATGTGCGGTTCCGTTCACGCCATCTGGTTTAATTTCGTGGTTTGTTGTGTGAGGGTGGGATGTTGGTGCGGGCTGGTGATGATCATGGTCCGTGAGGTCCCCGAGCGGCGGTCCCTAGGGAGATTCCGAGAGTGGAGAAGGAGTTTGTTGTACAAGGCGGCTAGCATCTCCACCTTGGGAGGATATTGTGATTGGTCGGGGGTGATGGTGTGGTTGCGCCCAGTCTTCATATTTGACTTGCGAGCGACGTCTGTCGAATATTGGTCTGCTGGACCTGGATTCACTGTCCATGGATGCCCGGCTCGGAAGGTCATTTATACCTTGGTTGAAATGCTGGCTCTGTCTCTGCTCATTGTTGATACTGTTGTGGTTGACTGCGTTTGAGATCGGCACAGTATTGCTGATGTCGCGATTCTCAGAGCTAGCGGGTGAGAGAGGTGCGTTTAGATGCTGGTTAATCTGCACATCGCTTGGGAACCGACCAACACTTCTCTGACGTCGCCATTGGGAGCCAGTGGCAGTGGTTGCCTCGCTTGTAGGGGAATGCTGCCTTTGCATCAAATGGTCTGCCGAGTAGGGAGTCTTATCGGCTTCATCTTCGTCCATAACCCCGTCACTACTAATAGAGGCGGTTCGATAGCTGGCGCCACTGTAAGAGCGAGCATGTCTTCGAACAAATGCGTCTCTTGCTGCGCCAGTCTTTTCAGTCAGGGCCTTGATGTCGTCGTACCAGGCTAGCATTGTTTCATGGGATTCAGCACGGAACACCCAAGCATGTCCGCGGTGCATCGATCCCGTCTGACGGCCCTTAAGCATGAACTTGTGGGATGACGATTCAGGCGTTGAGTGGGATCCTAGTTTCTGCTCGGGGAGATACAGAGACATTACAGGGTGCTGGGATGCAATTCGATCTGCCGATTTTAACTCGTGTAAATGAGTCGGTGACAGAACATACCTTTTCGAGATATCGTTAGTGTATATAAAAAGTCGACACCAGGTTTCATAGTACGTACCACCCAGGTGTATAGCTTCGCAGGTACTTGCTCTTCCTCTCCAGCATGCCAGCGCGGACCTCTGCGGCAGCAGGGTGATCCTTTCCAGGGTATGTTATATTTGCCAGATCTCTTAAATCCAGGTCAGGATCGACCATCTGGTCAGTCTGGTCAATGAAATAACGCCATTCATGGTCCTTGGGGATAGAAATAGGTCCTTCCTTGAGCCTCTCAACCGCATGATAAGCGGAATCGGCATCCCGCTTCAGGATGCTGGCGTATACATTATATGACTTCTGTATTTCACCAACCACGATTGATTCAAGTTCTCGACCAGACCTTTCAAGGTTTAGGTACGCCTGGAAGTTTTTCTGTCAGTACGGGAGTAGAAGTTCCTGAGTATAAAATTCTGAAACTTACTCGATGTAGATAGTTCTCCTCTTCAATCTGTCTTTCCAGCTGCCTGTCGACACTCATCCGGAGAAGAAACGGATCACCCTTGCCTGAGGTAGCAGCAGCATCACTGTCTACCAGGCCAAGGGCCTCATGTAGATGCTTGACGGCCTTTCGAGTAACCTCAACCTCCTTATCAACTGTATTCTTAAAGTCACCGGACAGGTTCTTGATTTCCTTAATCTTCTGGCCCAGATCAGCCCGTAGTCCGTTGAGCTGCATGATAATCTCGGTCTCCATCTCCCTAGCCTTATTGGATTCATGCAATGCCTGTTTATGATAGTCCTTTAATATTTCCGTCGCATCCGATATGCCGCCGGAGATTAAAAACATCGGTGGCATGGTTATATTATTTATAGCGTTTGAAGCGGAGATGAGACTCTTCGCGCGCGTTTCACATGAGCGCTGAACATCACGGAAGAATGCGACCAGGTCCTTTAGTACCTTTCTCCAAGCTATATATCATGTTAGATCTGTGTATTCTATACTACCTTTCGAGGCAGACTGACCTTGAAACCGAGCAGCGAGGACTTCAGTCGGGTTCCCGCTCGTTGGGATAGGGACGAAGAATGCGCTGTTGGCCTCGTCCTGCGCAACTCCATACTTCTCCTTCTCGCCCAGGTTCATGCTGCGCACACTGCCGGCCCGGCTGCTCTTGCGGCTGCCTCCCCGCCGCAAACTCGCCTTCTTGCTAAGCGATGGTTTTTTCTTTAGCGTCGAGCTCCGAGACGGGAGCGAAATGGGGTTTGTATTTGCTGTCGAAGCCGGAGAGTCCGTACGAGGACCTTCTCTTACGGAGCCGCTGTCCATCATAGAGCCTCGCCTGCTGACTGAGAGCACTTCCTGGAACCGAGACTGATGGGGAGCAGACGCCTGCTGCTGCTGCTGCTGCTGCTGCTGTTGGCTGAGAGGGGACGCGTCTGGGATGTTGCTGCGGACGTGGAAGTCTGACGGCCCAATTGACGAGTTCGCAATGTACGAAGCAGGGCGCGAGCCGGCCATGGAGTTGTACTCGGTGTTCAGCTGTGTATGGTCGACGTTGGCCATGGAGCTGGCCATGGTGTAGCTGGCGGTGTCGTGAGGTGCGCTGCCGGGTCTGTTTGCCATCGGCGACGGCGATGTCTCTGGCCGGCGAGAGAGAGCCCGCAGGTCACTTCGGCTTGCGGTCCGCTGTACACCGCTGTGTATCCCTGTGTATGTCTCGGTATATCTTCGTATATAGTAGAGTAGTTATCCAGCGACTTTGTTGTGGCCGTTATTTAGCGATCCTTGACCCCCGCGAGTCCAAGGGGCAACCAACAACACAGGCAATCGAGGCCAGCGGCAAGCTTGAGACGGTACTATGGCAGATGACGACGGTGCAAGGAGCTGTGAGGTGCGTTTCTTCTCTGTTTCTCTGTCTCTCTGCTATTCTAGTGGTTTGTTTCTGATTCTTAAGGAGTGCGAAGGATGGCGGAGGAGGAAGAAGACAAAAAAAAAAAAAAAAAAGGAGAGAAAGGAGAAGTGGAAGAGAGCCGAAGGCGATGACGTCGTTTGCCCAGATGGTGGGTGGCCTCCTTTTTTGTTTACTCCGCGAAGAAGTGCTTGAGAGGGACAGAGAGCCGGTGGAAGGCGATGAAGGGGTAGATAGAATAGTAGATAGACGGTAAACATGCGGTGGTAGCTACAAAGTGACCCCCCTACGATACGGCGGTTGACGCTGCTTATACTCCCGCTTGCTGCTGCTGCTGGCCTGATCCTCTAGTGACGGCTACAGCTACAAGCAGCCACAGTGCGAGATCTACCAGCTAGACCGCAGCCGCCCGTTGATCTCGGTTCTTGCAAGGTTGGGGAGGCTGAACGATATCTGGTGTCATTACTCTGCAGCAAGCAGTGTCAATGAACAACTTCGTCCCTGACCTTTGCCTGAACAGCCACCTTTCCAACGTCATCATTTGTCTTTTTGTCTTTTTGTCTTTTCCTTTTCTTGTTCTCGGAAGACTTCAGATCGTGGCTGTACAGTCATGTGATATCAAAGTCGGGTGCGAAGGGCAGGGATGTTGGATGCTGTTTGCTGCATAGAGAGACCTTGGGAGAGAATGACAAGCCGGAGGGCCGGTGGAGAGGCCGGTGGGCAGGCGGAGGGTGTGGTGGCACTGTATAGGAAACGCTGACTTGACTTGACATTTCATGTCTAGGTGTAATTGTAAGAGGGACAAAAAAAATAAGAAAGAGAGAAAGAGAGAAAGAGAGAGCCGACTGGTTTAGACTCGGAAATATACTACATATGGACATGTAACGGTGCAGGGCTGTGTGCTTCTAATCCTACGAGAGAGGAGTAGTCGGGGAGGCAGATGCTTGGGTTACGGGGACATCGATCCCGTAGTTCTGTTTTATCCGCTCTCGCCGTCTCTCTGCAAATCCGGGTGCCTCGATTCCTGCGGACGGTTAGCTATCATCAATTGCAGAGATATAGACAGGTACAGCTGCAGAATAGCCACGAGGTGCGGGCCTGACATACCTCTTCGCTCACCCAGCTCTGCAATTGTCTCCTCGCCAGGACTTCGGAAGTTCTTCCTGAGGGCGGTTCTTCGGTCGTATTCATCGACGTTAGGGTCGGCAATCTTGCCCGCTATGCTTCCTCCACTGTACTCAAAAACACCCAGCAGTGTAGCCAGTGCAACTCCGTATCCGATCATGGCCGGGAATGTTCGAGCTAGAGGGAAACACACGTTAAAACACAATGCTCCCTGCAAGTCCTAGAAACGATGGCAAAAAGGACTCACCTCGGAATCCCACAAGAGAACCAGCAGCAAACCCTCCGTAGACCGAGTTCCAGTAGTCTTTCTTTGTCCGCAGGTTGGCAGAGGCAGTCTTGACAAACTCGTAGGATCCTCCCATGGCAGCTACACTCGCACACACAAAACACATCAGCATCACTTCTTACCGGCCGTAGTTTGCATCAATTCACCATGCAATGACAGCACATCAGCAGAATCAACATACCGAACAAGAAGATCGTGCTGCCGGACCTGGTGAAGACGCCCCAAGGGCCGACGTTCTGCTTCTGGAGGGTATTCTGGACGGCGGAGGTGAACAGACCGACGCCGCCGGTGACCATTGTCGTGTTGATGGCGCGCTTGAGCGCATCCTGGGGGTGATACACGGGAGCCTCCTGCTGGCCGGCCATCGTTGCTGGACGAGCGAGACGTTTGCGGGCGAGTCTGGCGGTTGCGGGCGAGTTTTCGACGTCGTTTGATGTTTCGTCGCTGGCGTTGCTGGTTTTTCTGCCCTTTTGGGACGAGGCTTGGCGCGCGGACTTGACGACGACGAAGAATCGACGACGACGAAGGATGAAACGACGCCGGCTCGCTGATGGAATTGTGCCTCTGTTCACTCTCTAGGTTGATGACTGACGCCGCCGACGATGTCCTGAGCCGCTGCTTGTCCTGCCCTGCCCGACCGTCACTCGTTGCTGCTTGCTTGCTGCTCGCACCGCTGCCGCTGTACCTCCCCGCGCCCAGTCAATCCAGCCCGGTTCATCTACCCGCCAGGCCAGCAAGCTCCCTTCACGCCCGACCAGCACTGCTGCCACCCTCGCTCGTGCTTTAAAAGGCTGCCCGGAGCCTGTCGATCCTCTCGCTGGTCGAAAGAAACAACATACAGCCGCCAAAGTTGTGCTCGAGAAGCTCGTCTGCTACGGTTCCTAGATAGGTAAACACCGGGCTGAACAAACCCCCCATATCGAGCTACGCCAGACACACCGCCAGCTTGCGAGAGCTGGAAGAAACGCTTATATGGCTTTACCGGCCAAGCTGGGTATGTCCGCAGCATCTTCTGCCTTTCTAGAGTCCCGGACGCTGACCTGAATGCCCTCCCCCGGGTGCTGCGCAATCTAGGCAAAACCGCTCCTCTGCTCATACAGGATGTCCTGCACCATGACCCAGCGAGCCCTACTCGGCCGCAGTTCAATATCCTGAAAGACGTGCCACCTATCTTCTACGATAAGTCTACATACCCGGACTACTCCGACTCGAACGCTTGTGTCCATCGCTTCATCACAAAGCCTCACCAGTCAGTGCTCCCGGCGATCGACAGCCAGCGTGTTGCAGGCGCCAGATACCAGGTCTCGTCGGTATGTCAGAAGTGTCGACTTCATCTCGAGCTTGCAGTTGTCTTCAAGACACAGTTGGCCTGTCGACCAGGGACTGTGCACCACTTTTGCTACTTTCCCAAGGAGTCGGCGGATAGGCTCAAGACCGTTGCCAGATCGCCGGGACAAGCTCTAGAGGTATACGTCTACAGCTGTACGCAAACCCAATGCTCTGCCACAGTTCACCTGAAGCTTTGGACACCCCTTATCAAGCCAGAATGGGTGAGCTTGTTGACGGACGAAGACATCCTGAAGAAACGAGTAGACGACGCCCTAGCCTTGGAACCACAACGGTTGGAAGGGATAGGCAGACCAACACCGTTGGTCGTCCTCACGCATCTCAAGACATACATCGACAATACTTTGCATGATGAACAGCGCAATAGATCAATCAATATCATGAACAAGAAGTTCACAGTCTGCTTTGGCACCGGTGGAGAAGCCTGCAAGCAACTATTTGAATACCTGGGCTTTAAGTTAGCAGTATGTCATTTCATGACTCGCCTCCGTACTTCTCTTCTTCTTCTCTTTAATGCATGATATCTGACTGTTTTTTTACGTCGCAGAATGATCGCTGGGAACCACCGCGGCCCGATACAAAAGCGCTAAAGCCATACACTGATCCGTTAAATATCTTCTTGGACAATATCTCATTCGAGCTTCTGGTGCTTATCAGCCAGCGGCCACAACATGAGACAGAGGGCCAAGGGGGAAATATAGCTTTTACGCCTTCTATAAGCCAGTTTAACCTGCTGCTCGGTACAACAGACTGTCAGTATAACACATCATCCCTATTTACCTAACATCGACTTACGCCCTTTTACAGATCCCAAAACCCGCGCTTTCCCCAATAGCTCTCAATTAAAAGCTCCGTATGTTGCCTTCTTTTGTGTATATGAATATTCCTGCTCTAACCAGTGTATAGCTTCTATGAACATCTAGGGGCTGTCAGCGACATGTCTAATGAACTGATCATTGAAGCCTATCGCCAGCAAAACAGAATTATACCATCACGAAATAGCTACCATTTCAGATGCTTACGGTCAATTGGACACTGGAGAGACCCTGTCGATGGCAAGACAATAAATGATTTTGTTGAGTTAGAAACAACGAACGGCAAGTATGCCGACGATGATGTACCTGATTCTTACTCATATTTCAACCTTGACTATTACCGAGACTTTGCTCTAAGCGATGATTCCATCATCGGATCGTTCTATGCTCGGCTTGAAGATACTCAAAATGATATGGAGCCACGAAAACATCTCTGGAGAATAGGCGACTACCGCAAGAGCGAAAAGATAAAGGCCGCTGCAGAAGAGAGTGCGTGTCTTTCCTTCATTCTTGTTAATTTCCCCCTTTGCATAAAGCTAATACATGTCCTAGGAGTGACGACCGCTGAGCAAGCTGAAGTATTCCTGGGAGTCCATGCTGATACCCCTGATGATTTCGTGATTTCGATGTATACTGCAAAGGTATGTCTCCTTGAACCGTATCTTAATACACTCTCTTACTAACCATGATCTAAAAAACAAAAATTAGATTAGCGATAGTCCTGACAGCAAAGAGGTAGCTAAACGAGCTGTTCGACTTATCGCAGATAGCCGAAAGTCTGAAGCCCTACAACATTTTCTCAAGACGGGCGAAGCAGCCTCTGCCCAAATGGATATTGGGGATGCATTCCGTTTGCTCCAGATCCCCGATAGATCGGTAGATGATGCTGCTATAATAGCTGCATACTCAGTATGTTGCTCGGAAGCTCCCGAACAGATCGATACATATCGACAAGCACTTGCTGTTATTGCCGAGGAGAGTGGCAGCGCGGTTATCCGTAGCATGCTGCTTGACGATAGCGCCCCGGCGAACCGCGCACTGTTGGACTGGCCGGTCGGACTTCGAAATATTGGTAACACCTGTTACCTGAACAGTTTGCTTCAATTTTACTTTACCATCCAGCCTTTCCGGAATATGGTACTGGATCTTGACCGGTATAAAACTGAACTTGATGAGGAGGTGATTCGGAATAAAAAGGTTGGATCGCGAAAAGTATCTCTTTTAGAGATCCAACGCTCACAGAAATGTTAGTTCCTCTTGGCCTTGATGACACTTGTATGCAGCAGCTAACTTTTGTTTCAATTACAGTCCTTGTGCAATTGAAAGCTCTGTTCAACGACATGATTACTTCCCCTGATGCGTTCGTAACACCGACCCAAGAGCTTGCTAGGCTGACGTTGCTCAGTTCCTCAAGTGAAGCTGCGTTTCGGCGTAAATCTCTATCAACTCACAAGATATCAGAGTTAGGGGAGATTAATGGGATGCCCATCATGGGCCCTGTCGGTCCTCCAGCTCCAATCCCTGAAGAGAAGTCTACACCGAGTAGCAGCTCTCCAGAAAAGGAGGAGTCGGCTAAAGAAGATGTTGGCGTCACCCCTTCTACAGGAGCTTCCAATGAGCTAGAGTCTGGCAACGCTTCAGACCAAACTGTGGTGCCTACTGTTGAAACAAAAGAAGTCACCTCATCCTCCAGCGAGACCAGTATTACACCTGAGCACCCGGTATCAGAGGCTATTGTAGCCCCTAACAGACCACCACCAGTTCCTCCACGGCCTGCTCCACGGGTTGACAACGAGCAGCTAATTCGAGAAGAAGTTGAGTTGGGTGCCCAGCAGGACGTCACGGAAGTTATCAACAACGTGCTCTTCCAAGCTCAGTGCGCAATTAAGCCAACCAAGATCGACGCAGACGGGAATCAGATGGATTTGATCATGGAGTAAGTGATAGCTCTCAGTGCTTTAAGTTGATGAACATACTAACTCTTTGATACAAGTCTGTTCTATGGACAGACCAAATCTTACATCACTGCAATGAATGGTATACGTTCTAAAAACGAGTTCTGGTCAGATATCAAAGTCGATGTCGCCACTGGCTCGAGAGACATCTATTCTGCTATTGACGGTGCTTTTGATAGACAAAAAGTACATGTTGATGGTGCGGACGCAGAACAGTATGGAGCCATCAGCAAGATCCCACCAGTACTACAAATTCAAGTGCAGCGTGTGCAGTTCGATCAGGTTAAGAAGTCATCTTTCAAATCCACTCACCATTTAGAGCTAAAGGAAACAATATACATGGACCGATACATGGACGTCCCGGAACATGATAATATGGGTCTATATAAACGACGCCGAGAAAAGTGGGCATGGAACGACGAGCTTAATGGGTTAAAAGTTCGGCGGGAGGAGCTACTAAGCAACAATGTATTATCTCCCTCTACTAAGATAAAACGACTGTTGGCTAACTTCTCATTAGGAATCCCTCCCCGACCTTTTTCAAGATGCCCGTGACAAAGTCCAAGACTTGATGTTGATGAAAGACGATCCTGAAATGGGAAATGATGCCCTAGACATCGATGAAGGGGTATTGGCACACCTTTCGAATTTGGAAGTAATGACAAGAAAGGAACTCATTCGTAAGTGGAATTCCAGTTGCTTTTTTCGCTTTCCACTGCAGTACTAACTTAGCATGTAGGCATTGATTCTCGGATAGAACAACTTGCCCATTTGATAGATAATCAGTTCAACGATATGAAGTCTCTCCCCTACCATCTCTATGCGGTATTCATTCATCATGGATCCGTGGAATTCGGTCACTACTACATTTACATATTTGACTTTGAAAAGAAGATATGGCGAAAGTATAACGATTCCGAAGTAACCGAGGTCCACAGCACGGCAGAAATCTTTAGTGATCGCAACGTTAAGAACCCGCCAACCCCCTACTTCCTTGTTTATCTAAACGACGGGTTAAAGGAACGACTGGCCAAACCTGTGTGTCGTCACATTGAGGAGCGTCCGGCACAGACCACCTCGGCGGCAGATAATTCAAAATCAAAACCCGGCCGAGAACGTGCAGGTGACAGATCGGATGTAGAGATGACCGACCTACCTCCCAGCTATGACGAGGCGCAAAAAACAGCCCCAGGTAGGGACAGATCACACCCAGACAGCCAACAGAGCTTCCATCAAGGGAGCAAAGGCAGTATTCCTATCCGGGGAACCTGGGAAAGTAACCATGCTGACCGGCCTGAACACGCATGGTAGACGAGAAAGCCATTTTGACGGGCCCAGCTGCGATGGCGAAGAAGAAGCTATCGCCATCTCCAGACCGCAAGCGATTAAAACGAAAGGGCGCCGAAAGTGAGGAACACCCGACTGTTGCATCGAAGAACTAACCACATTACTGTTTTCACGACCTGAAACCGTATACCCTACTCCCCCCTTCCATACCGAATCCATTATTATGACTATTCAACGCCCATACTATAAGTCTATTGCCCCTCCGATACCATAGAGAAATCTCTGAGCACCATTTTATTTCCTTGCCTTCGTACTCTTCTTGATATGGATATCCCTTTGTCTCCAGTAAAAGCGCTTATCGAATATTCCAGCGAACATTAGACTTGCATTCCTTCACAGTGTCAGCTGTTCCTTGCCAGGTGGTGGCTTTGGTGTATATAACTCCTTAGCATAGGAAGGGAATAAGAGCCGTCATTCCCGCAGAGAGGATAACAGCGAATCCCTGATCTTGCAGCCCCTATATCTTATTTTTTCTAGCTGACCATCAAGAATTGCAGAATAGGGGTTTCTCGATTACTAATACAAACATCAAGCAGTCTTCTTATCGTGTTTGATAACTGCAATGAGGGGAAATATCAAACACAGAAGCGCGCCAGCAGCAACGGCCCCTGCAAAGCACTGTGCTGGTTTAAAGTCTACCCGACCAGGAGTCACGTTGACTAAGGCACCCGCGATAGGTGAACCAACGAGAACGCCAACGCCAGCAAACATCCACCCCATACCCATGCGTGTACCGATTACGTTCATGGTTGGGGATAGTACGGGATGTGAAATTGCTGCGCTTGGGGCTGCAACCTGCACGCCCGAGACTATGCCATACATTAAAGTGAAGCCCAAAAAACCCGCGACATTGTGAACAGCCGTCCAGCAAAACAGAGCAACTGTAGTCCCTACTGTTGCGGCAATATATACCTGCAGAGAACCAAAGCGGCCTGCAGCTAACATGGGCAGGGTACGTCCGATGATGGATGTAATGCTCATGTATACCAGGTACGCGAATGCAAAGCTGCGGGATTGATGCAAGGCCTCTGTCGCATACATCGGTATATAAAAGGGCGTAATATAGAACGCAATGTAGTTGAGAAACATGGCGATTGAGAACAGTAAGAAACTGGGCTCACGAAGTGCTTTCAGATCAAACATAGCTCGTCGATGTTGGGGTTTGGGAGCCTTTGAGCGATAAGGGAGCAGAATTGCTAGAGCCACGACTGATAACACAAGAGTGACCAGAGCAATCGCACGGACAGCCCAGCCAAACCCGATTTGAGGCTCCAGGTCACGCAGCATGAACGTATAGACGATACCACCCATGCCTCCACCTGCGTTCACGCAGCCAATTGCCCAGGGACGAACCGAGTCTGGGAACAGTGTCGAAACAAATGCCAGGGCCGGTACATAGAGCAGACCAGAACCGAGACCAACACATAAGCCCTGAGCGAGAAAGACCTGCCAGTATGCAGTAGCCAGCGATAGTGTGCTCATGCCAAGGACGACGAGAGTACAACCGAGTGTGAGCATCTGGCGCAAATACCCTGCATCGAATAGAGGACCGGTGAAAACGCCGAGGACAATGACCAGGAACACCTGGAAGCTACCAATCGAAGAGATGGAGCTGGGAGAGCTGGTGGAAAGCAAGCTGCTAACGTAGTACTGGTTGAACGCCCCGAAAGTCTGCGTTAGGCCCCTAGTTCTTGCATTCGTCAGTTCTGATAAGACATAAATTGTTGTTTTATCCAGACCGTTATTTACCATGCGTTCATAAACAAGAAAAACGAAGCAAGGACATAGATCCATGCCTTGAAACCGCCTTTTGCCTCGTTATTGTTTCCCGCTTCTAAATTATCATCCACTACTGATGGCGGGGTGGTATCACCTCCCTTTTTGACACACGCGGTTTGGTCCGGACGATGGCAAGTGTTGGTGTTTTGCTCAATTATGGGCATTTTGCCTCGAGAGAGAAGGGGCAAAGATTAGAGGTAGAAGAATTATGTACTTAGATGTTTCAAACGGGACAGAAAAATGCGGTACCTCGACTTATCAACTATCATTTGTGTCTTGATACTGTGAATACACAAGATAGGATAATGGTAGCACATCTGTTTTGAGATATGTTCAAGTAACAATGAAATACAAAGGAGAATTTATTAGTATCGCCGATGTAACAGCCGATGAAGTGAGATTTAGTGAGCTAAAATTAAGATAAGTACAATTGAGATCACAGAATAAAAAATGCAAGCAGTCTGATGCATTGACATGATGGTGTATCTAGTCTTTCATACGGTGTGCATGGTCACACTACTGTATGTAACGGTCGGCCCGCATTTTATGTCACAATTGGTACAGAAAATAATAATGGGTATAGCTATAAGTGGGTATCAATTACATCCTCCATCAGTTTAGAAGAAACATTTTATGAAGATAAAAGAGAAGTTAGTACTAACTATAAAGGATTTCGAGGGGAATTTGTGCCAATATCGAACTACTAAAATGCATCCAGAGTTGGACTCTTTCTATACACGTGAACTTTAATTATTGAGCCGCACTAAAAATAGCTTAACTCTAACTTTATCTCTCCTCAACTCCTTCAACGTCGATATATACTCGGATAACAGTATCTTCATCAAAGATACGGAGTATCAGCAGTTGCACTGGACAGTACACATGCTCTTGATTTAAATTTACAAAACATCTGAGCTCATGAAGTGGGTTACCCTTCCCGGCATCACCACCGTCACACACTGTCGCTCATCGATATTATTATCAACCCACACCTGAAGTAGGAATTCTGCAAAGTGCCAGTTAATCGCGAAAATGTTGCAGCATTACGGCAAAATATCTGCGCTCTGCCCATTTAGTTAATTAAGAGTCCTGGTTCCTGCTTTCTTCCCCAGTCATGTAATTCGGGTCACAACGGACAATAAACATTTTCTTGGCTTCTTTTAATTCTGGTAGTTGCCATTTGGTAGTGTGGCCTTTTTGTTTGTGGAGATACCCTTCTTCAAGAATATGTAGTGGTTGACTTCCGTATAAAACAGTTGCACGGAAGTGTATGTTGACATGATGCGCGAATCCGAGACCGGTGTGATACGCCATGAAGACGCAACATTTTGGTATCACACTTTTAGCCGCAAGAGCCCCCTGGTCCGGGCAGTACCAGGCGCGATTATAGTGGTTGTGGACTTTCGCCTTCCGTCTCCTACCTAATATAACGGAATGGCTGGAATGATCTATTAATGTGTGTTTTCTTCACTCCAGTGGCAAGCGCATTCTACGATCTGTTATGATTATGTAATGCATGCAGGTGAGAAGTTGTTGATATTACCGTATTAGGAAGGCTTGATCAAGAGCGGCAATAAGCGGCAGTTTGAACATCCGCAGCACGTGACTATGGCTAGATGCGGATTTCCTGACTAAGCAAAATGCCGATTTTGCCGAGGCTCAAAAAAGGGCGCGAAGAAGCGACTTCGAGGAGACGCAAAGAAGGGACGCGAAAGCAGAGAAAGGAGGAAGTAAGAGAGCAAGACAGTCCCAAAGAGAGAGCAGAAGTACGTAAGGTAGTTTTGATTGTCGTATTACGTGAAGGGCAACTTGTCCTTGCTGTATCCTTGTCTTCGGCGTTTGCGTGCGCTGCGGTTAAGTCTTCGGCCCGCACGGCCGATACTCGAAAAGAAATACACGGAAATTCCAGCCTTCCGCCAAGAGCATACTGAGGAGGCAGTACATATTCGCCGAGCTTCACGCGAGCAAGACACCACCGCCTCCAACCACTAACCACCACCAACGGCAGCAGTCAGACGCAGCAGAGAAAAGGAAGAACATCGAAGCATAAGAGAGGGACCGGCGCCTTGATAGATTTGCTGTTTTTTCCGCATTCGACTTGAGTGACAATGCCTTTTCACGCTGCAAAGACCTGCCTCCGCACGGCGGGGAGGTTCACTGCTAACCCAGCATCAGTATGAACTGCCACCCAATTTAAGGGACCTTGATGAAGACATATCTAGCTGACTGGATGTGACTTATTTGCAGAGCCAACACTTCCTCGTTCGTGCCTTTTCGAGCACCGTTGCTCGATTCGAGATCAACAAGGTCTACCCCTCTGCCAAAGAGGCGATCAAGGACATGAAGTCCAACTCGACCGTGCTGGCTGGTGGATTCGGTCTTTGTGGTATTCCTGGCACCCTGATCAATGAGATTCACTCTACTCCTTCCATCACTGGCTTGACTGCTGTCAGCAACAATGCCGGTATCGATGGTGCGGGGCTTGGTCTTCTGATTGCCAGCGGACAGATCAAGAAGATGATTGCCAGCTACGTTGGAGAGAACAAGTCTCTTGAGCAAAAGTACCTTTCTGGAGAGATTGAGCTGGAGCTTACTCCTCAGGGTACCCTTGCTGAGCGTTGCCGATCTGGCGGTGCTGGTATCCCCGCCTTCTACACCCCAGCTGCCTTTGGCACCGTTGTTCAGACCGGTGACCTTGCTGTGAAGAACAACCCGGATGGATCTGTTGCCACCTACGGAACCCCAAGAGACGTCAAGGTCTTCGATGGCAAGAGCTATGTTATGGAAGAGTCCATCAAGGGAGACTATGCGCTGGTCAAGGCTTGGAAGGCAGACAAGCTTGGAAACTGCCAGTTCCGATACTCCGCTGCCAACTTCAACGGTGCCATGGGCCGTAACGCAAAGATCACCATTGTCGAGGCTGAGAACATCGTTGAGGTCGGCGAGATTGACCCAGCTGCCGTCCACCTTCCCGGTATCTACGTCAAGCGTGTCATCCAGAGCAAAGCCGAGAAGCAGATTGAGAGACTCACTTTCGCTAAGGAGAATGAGGATACCGCCGCTCTCGGCAAGGGCGAAACCGCCAGCAAGAGAGAGCGCATTGTACGCCGTGCGGCTAAGGAGTTTAAGAACGGAATGTACGCAAACTTGGGTATCGGTATGCCCATGCTTGCTCCCAGCTTCGTTGACCCATCAGTCGAAGTCCAGCTTCAGTCTGAGAACGGTATCCTCGGTCTTGGACCTTACCCCAAGGAGGGCCAGCAGGATGCTGACCTGATCAACGCGGGCAAGGAGACTGTCACTCTTCTCCCTGGCGCCTCCATCTTCGGAAGTGAAGAGTCTTTTGGAATGATCCGAGCTGGACGTATTGACTTGACTATCCTTGGTGCCATGCAGGTCAGCGCCAAGGGAGATTTGGCCAATTGTAAGTTTATTCTTTCCGCCTCTTCCTCCTCCCACCTTTTTTTTCTGATTTTGCCCAATGCGTATGTATCTAACGCTTCCAATAGGGATGCTTCCAGGTAAGGTCAAGGGCTTCGGAGGAGCCATGGATCTCGTCTCCAACCCTACCGCCACTAAAGTCGTCGTCACCATGGAACATACCGATAAGAAGGGCAACCCCAAGATTCTCAAGCAGTGCGAGTTCCCACTCACTGGCCGAGCTTGTGTCAGCCGAATCATCACCGAACTCTGCGTCTTTGATGTTGATTTCGCCAACGGCCTTACTCTGATCGAGTTGGCTGATGGCGTTACCGTTGAGGAAGTCCGCTCCAAAACCGAAGCTCCCTTCAAGGTAGCTGATGACGTTAAGCCAATGTTGTAAGCGAAGAAAGCGCTGAGTTTCTTGCTGTATATACCATGGTTGTTTTTCTTGTATTTCCTAGTTCATTTGTGTTGTTTCCTGGGCATATGGGATGTACTTGACGAATCTTTTCTGGGCGAATCTATTTTGACATATATATATATATATACCTAAAGTGTGTGATATATTCATCAATTAATATTCTATAAAATTCAGGTGTCTTTCAAGACATAGTTTTACATGCTCCGCTGTATCTTACACATTGACATCCCTTACTCCAGACCCGCCTCTTAAACACTTATACAAATGACCCGCAACTGCCTTCCTTCCTGACCTTCTACTTCAGCCTTACTGACCCCCCGATCCTCCTACGCAATCGTGCAAATGTTGATCGATGCGCAGCTTCGTCAAATTCCTTTATCAGCCGGTCGTAGTGCTGTGGCATACTGGTGGGGTACCGCACGTTTCGCCGAAGGGGATATGCTTTCTGGTATTTATTATCCAAAAACGACTGTAGCGCTTTTATATTATCCTGTGATAGTAGAGGAGGCTGGAGTGACGCAGCGCTCTGTGATTGTGGTTTGGATCGCGAGAAAAAAGATGTAATGTAGGACGTGAGAGAGGACTCGGACTGAGGGCGCGGAGGCTCAAGCCGTGACTGGAGGTATCTCTGGACCGAAACAGACTCTGGTCGAATGGGATCCTTGGGCCATCTGAGTATGAGCCGTTGGATCTGCCCGACTGTGTTTGGAGGGAGCTATTTGAACTTGTTAGTATACTGGTTCTTCACTCACATCCCGGCCAATTGGATCACCTCATACCTTGGACGACATGTTTTCCTGGCCCTGTCTCAGACTGTCCCTGGGTATATACAGCCTTCACTCCCTGTTATCTGGCGTGTATCAATGCTGCCTCCATCGTCTTCCAATCCAATTACTTCCAATCCATCCATTTTGACCGCATGGAAAAGCCAAAACGTCGGAATAAAGTTGTCCCGTGACCTTCCACGTGACTGTGGCTTGTTTCGCCCTTTTTCGACCGCAAAGAAGCTGAAGCAGCAGAAGATAAGAAGACGAAGAAGACGAAGAAGAGACGAACGAAAGGCGCCGGCTTTGCTCACTTGCTTCTTCTGCTACGTTTTGTTTTGCTGATAGAGAACGTCTCACTACGCAGTTGGTTTTACCCTGAGAGAACCCTCGAATACCACAATCTTCGCTCCAGCCTGCTGCTCGGGGGCGGCTGTGGACGAAGGGCCACTATGACTTCACATCGATATGAGCCCGTAAGTCCCCCAAGGCACCCGCAAAAACCATCGCATCAACCTGGCCTCTTGGGGGTGCTGTCACGGCGGTTTGGAGACCTCTACTGACCACGGCGCGTCTGCCTTGCAGGTAAATACTCGCAGCGAAGACGACGCTGTCTCTTCTCAAGCCACACAGCAGCAGCCTATCCCGTCATCCCCTCCACCCTCCTTTCATTCGCGGACACCATCCCCAGCATCTCGCCGCGTGCTATCCCAGGACCCTCTGAACTCAGACGCGGATCGAACACTGGCTGATGCCTTTGGCGATGATGACGGACACACCGATGACGAAGAAGGGGCCGATGACAGACAGCGGCTGATGAGGGGGAGCCCTGCCAACACGACGCCAGACATCGACCCGTCAGAAGCGCCAGCAGGGAGCAACAGTGCTCAACCAGCAGGACGACCCAACGCCTCAACATCTCGAGTAATCCGAGGCGCCAACGATGGAGTGTTTGCGAATCTTTCGGCCAAGCCAGAGCGAGGAGGCGAGAAACTCGACGATCTACCACCGGTAAGCCCCTGACCAAAAACCTTTGCTTTTGAAGGCGTTAAGAAGAGATTATATGGATGTATGACTGACGATGAGTTGTAGACATATGAACAAGCAGCGGCAGATGCTGCTCCTCCGTACTGGGAGACCACTATCGTGGCTCCTGGCATGTCATCGGACGAGGTTTACGTTGAAGGCCTCCCCGTCGGCTCCGTCTTCTCGTTTGCCTGGAACGGCATGATCTCGACCTCGTTTCAGCTCGTCGGCTTCCTGCTTACCTACCTCCTACACACCACTCACGCCGCCAAGAATGGAAGCAGAGCCGGCCTCGGTCTTACCATGGTACAGTACGGCTTCTACATGAGAAACACAGACGGCTACAGCCCTCCCGACTCGGACGCCGGAGATGACGGATACGTCAACCCACCAGACCCAAACAGCCACAACTTTAACCCTAGTGCCGTCGACGGCTCCGGCGGATCAGGGTCATCATTCCATGGCCTCACCACCAGCGACTGGCTCTCCTATATCCTCATGGTTGTTGGCTGGTTCATCCTTATCCGTGCAATCAGCGACTATCTCAGGGCACGAAGACACGAACAGTTAATCCTCCAAAGCCCTAACCGTGGCCTCCCCGTCCCTATCATCGCCGAGAATGAACGATCAGAGACTGCAGTATAAAAGTCCCGACAGGAACCGCGGAATTTACATTTTTCTTTCATTTCTTCGTCACCCTCTTTTAACCAAGTACCTTTATACGATCGGGAGTCAACGACAGGCGGAGGAGCACGGATACACCAGGCCATTTTTTTCCTCTTTTTTTTTTTTTTGTTTCCATCTTCTGTTTGAATCATCATTGTCTTTCTTTTGGGGGAGTTTTTGGAGCTGAAGGCGTAATAATTGTTTTCCGACTGATCCACTGGTCCTTGTCATACTATATATCTATCATTTGCTTGCTTCCCTTGATTCTGCTTGAGCTTCTTCTTACGGTTCCAGACCCTCTCCTTGCACTCTCCCTGCCCTCTCCTATCTCCTATTGTCCATACTCACAGCCATAGCACAGGCACAGATATATCTCCTTCTTGTCATTTAATCCAGCTATCCACAGCCTGTCCTACTCGAGCACCCAGCAGACTGGCCTGATTGATAACCTGATCTTTCACCTCGCGCAGGCCCTGTGATCAAATAGTCATACATGAAATAGTCTACATGCATGCATGCATGCATATTTACTTCATCGCGAGGCGCAGTCCAGGCATCAGCATAACCACTACTGACAGGGTGCATATATCCACTGTGGCTTTCGTGCTATTTATACTGAAATCGCAACATCTTGATATCAAACTTGACTCTCTTTCCTGCTCTCTCCCTTTCTTTATTTTTTTTACACTCGGGCTCTTGTCCATGGTGAATCAGGCCTCGTTAAGCTGATTTCAGCCATTGGCTCTTTGTCTTCATCCTCGTCGTCGGGCTTCAGCTGTAGCTATCCAGTAGTATTGGCATCTTGGTACGGCGTAGGTGAATAGCAAACTCGCGGCTGAGCCTGGACGTAGACGCGAAAAAGCAATAAATAGCTGCCCTCGCCCTCTTCATCATCATCATCTTCATCATCATCATCATCTTCTTCTTCTTCTAATTCTGTCCTTTCCCTTCGCTTCTTGGAGAACCGCGTTGGGCTTCGGGCGCCTCAGCCACAGCCAACCCAGCTAGTTAGTTAAAGCCTGCAAAACTCCGCCTATAACTATCTTATCGGCAAACTTCTCCCCTCCAGCTGGACATTCCACCCACCGTCCAAGAGCTGTGTGCAAACGACCGATGGACGGCGCTCCCGTCGAGGCTCGCTCGCTGGGGTCCATCGTCAGCCTCGCCTCGAATCCGCCGGCATATCCCAGGAATCCAACGCAGAAGCCGCTGGAGCCGCTCGTTCTGTACATTGTTCGCGTGCCCGGCAGCAAAGGTGAGATCGGACGGAACCACCTAGCAACCAGCTCACAGACTCTTGATACTAACACGAAATATCTACGTAGACGTCTTTCTCTCGCCGCTGAAACCGCCGACAAAGTCCAGTCTCTCTCCCGAATCTCTAAATGCGTCCTTATACTTCATACATGTGGCAGGGCCGCGGGACGAAGAAATCCTAGAATCTATAGAAAAAGAACGGCATACCCAGCAACAACAGCAGCAGCAACAACAACAGACTACGAATCCAATACCGCAAACAAGCAAACTCGCGATCCTAAATCGGACTCGCAGGAAACCGGTGCCTGGAGTTGCTACGGCGATCGATGCCCAACAGGAAGCGGCCCCTCCTCCTCTACCAACCCGACCCCAACATATAGCTCAAGATCCAGAGCAAAATGCAGAAATAAGACGCAGGAGGGAGCAGGAGGGCCTAGCACCAGGGAGTGTAACTCCGGTTCATGAGCATTCTCCTAGCAGCGTGTCAGGGTCGCCAGGCCAGCCGCTATTGGAGCCGCAACCACCGATTCTCCCACCTCGACCACTCCCCATTCAGCCTGTTGATGACGACACACGGCGGTGGAGTGCCCAGGTAACCGCTTCAATATCCGCTATAGGGTCGCCGCAGTTGCAGAGTCGGCGCGATCAGGCATCTGGAACAACAGTGCGAGCCAGCTGGGATGGCAGCAGGAGGCCATTCTTCCAGCCTGAACTCACACCACGCCCTCAGAGCCAACGAGGTCTCTTGCACATACCAGAGGACGAAGGTCCTAAACCACCGCTGCCCCTGAGGCCGAGGAAAAGCTACGAGCGGCCACGAGAAGCAGCTCCTGCACCCCCTTTCCACTTGACGCTCATACGACGTGATCCAACCCACAGCAGCCAGTGGAACGTGGGCACAATCGATAACATAGGCAGCTCCCCTTCCGAAGGGAGACAAGACGGCTCTATCAAAGTTGAAATCACCACGCCTGGGTATCAGAAATTCGCAGTCGATACGTCTCGAATGTCATTTGAGAGTCTAGGCATTAAGCTTCCTGCCGCTGCGCGCAGCTTGGACACTGCACGGCCTCCACAGCAAAGCATGTCATCGAATATGCCCCGAGAGGCAGAGGATATGTCAGATTCAGGCCACGGGGCAGGCCCTGTCAAGTTCACCCGTCTCCTTAAGCTTTGGCAGCCACCGCAGTCGTCATCTCACCATAGACACCAACCCTCCTCTCACGGCGAGATATTCAACCTCTCTTCCCCCAAGGCTAACAAGTACCCTCAAAAGTCTAACGGACATTACCAGTTTCTGTCCATTTGGAACGGTTACTGTAACTTTGTCACTGCTGCCAACGGAAGGACTTTAAAGTGCAAGCATACCATCCCGGGAGCGGCAGGGACGTCGCCATCCTCAGCGACAACTACAACAGTCGCTGAAATACGGCTTAACCTGCCAACCTTACTGCCCCGGCCATCCAGCTCGAGTGACCAAAATAGCAGCCCAACCAAGAGCTCCCCCTGGGTCGGAGAGTTAGACCTAAGTCTTGCGCGTGAACGGGCTGGCGGAGGCCTACGCGGCAACAGCGCTAAGCTGGGCAAACTGATCATTGAAGACGAGGGCCTAAAGATGTTAGACTTGGTCGTTGCTAGTTGCATGGGCGTCTTTTGGAAATATTACGATAATATGTAGCATTTTATATCCTTTTTTTACACTTGTTAACAAGTAGCTAACTAGCTACCTAAAACTAGCATTGTCCGTTCTCATAGATATCAATCTCAGATGTATTTTAAACTCGTTAACTGCCTAAGTTACAGTTCCTTTCGTCCATGAGACTCGCCCCAGTATCATCATGTACCCCGGAAGCTGGGGTAGTACAAGATACAAGCTTGAGGCCCCATTATTGAGGCCAGAGTAATGAATGCCGTGTCTACATGCACAAAGTGAGGGACTGTGACACGGCCAGCGCATAAGCACCCATTCCACTGCAGAACAATCGATTGCAGGCAAGGTATGACGGCACAAGGCCTCGACTACTCTGTTTGCACCCATATACGACAGGGCCGTCGAGCGCTCCGTCAACCCCCTGGCTCACAGCCCGTTTGTCCTCCCAGAGAGTTTTGACTATTTGAACGGCTGCCCCTGGATATCAACAAGAAACAAGTTTGATATCGGCCTTTCAACACCCCCCCCTCCACCTCTTGCACTCTGCCTTTCGTATATTGAGTATCGCGAGCTGAATCTCTTCCTTTTTTTTTTTTTTTTTTTTTTTTTTTTAACCAACCTCAAACATCTGCCGAGTAAATAGAATGGGGATCACTAGAGCTTAATCTGATACACACGAGCGATGGGCAGCGTTAGGCAACGGGAGAGAGGGAGGGTGCCCTGCGGCAGAGGAGAGCGCCGGATATGATACGTATCGGCCAGTTAGCGATATACACGACGAGCCTTTGCTTTTTTTGTCCCTTCATCTTCTCTCGACTTCGCCTGTCTTCTTTATTGCTCTGGTATTCAGATGCCGAGACAAACTGTCAAGTGACTCTAACGGAGCAAGATGAATGGGAGAAAAAGTGGACATGTGAAGCGCTACGGGTGTGATCTCCATGCTCTGATCGACGGCAAGGGCGAAAGTGGCCCAATGGACATCGAGGGCCAGCTAGGACGTATTAATTTAATACCAAGGATAAACATGAAGGACGAGAAGAAGACGGTTAATCATGAAAGGCAGATAGATAAGTAAGACCATAGTAATAATAGTATGTATATATATGTACGGTATAAAAAGGGGGGCAAGAGAGAGCCAGTCGTCCAAGACGTCAACTTAGTAAAAAAGAGATGTATATATAGGAAGCCGGTGAGGAATAATACACAATAACGCCCAGATGCATACATAGTAGAAGGTGTATAGGAAAACGGAGGGGGAGGGGGGGGTGGAAGGAGATAGAAGATATGTAGGTAGAGATATAAGAGAGATATAACAAGAGTTCTGGTATATGGCAGGCCACGAGAGATATGGATCATAGCACACGTCCAATAGAGGAACAGGAAGGAGAACAGAGGAAAAAAAGGGCATAAGGAAAACAGAGGAGCTTGGAAGGACGGCACTTTGACAGGTCATTTCATTTGGAAGAGTTTAGACTCGCCCCCAGACGTCTGCTTTGCTTATCCCGTGCTCGTCTGCGGTATGAAAGGAGCGAGGGTGTACCGACATGAAAGGAAAAGGAAATGAAAAAAAGGAGGATACGTCGACAAACTCCCCTCCTTTCCGAAAAGACTGTGCGAACGTGGTATAACGCCGAGAAGGAATCACAAGGTGGAGGTTGGTTTTGGGTCGTAAGGTCAAAGCTGAAAATACAGATCGGGGGACGGGGCTGAGGTACAAGTGTAAGCGACGGCGAGGGAATGGAAATATACACGGGCGTTAATATTCGGGCTGAATCAGGAGTATCGACAAGTCGCGATCAATTAAAACGGGGAGCCCTCTCCCAGACAAAAAGGAAAAAGAAAGGCAGAGGCAGTAGGGTGCGGCCTTGATGAACGTATGTCGACGTGGGTATATTCAGTAATTTCCATCCGGGTTGGTGACCTGGAGATAATGCAACTGTTAGCCCAAGGGGAACCGCAAACAGGTAGGGGAAAGATGGATGATAGTATGTACCTTCAGAACCCGCCGTGAGAAGTCCTGGTCGTCGGCAATGCTGCCATTGCTCTGGCGGCGCTGAGATGTCATGCTTGG